TTCAATAGGTTTTACATTTATAAATTTTGCCATTAGGTCAGTTATTGATCTACGAAGTTGATTTGAGTTTGAATATTTTTAATTAGAAAATTATCTATAAAATGTTCGTTCGCAATATGTTACTTTCAGTGACTTCTTGCTAAATGTTAACTATGATTATACTTTAGTTTTCCTATCAGCTTAGCTTTCTTCATCGGATCCATTATCAATATATTATGCGAAACACAATTTTGGAGTTTGTTAAACTACATCACGTAAAAAAAGTTAGTCTTCTTCGATTTTATGCATGTTCTTATAGACATTGAATGTAGACTCATTAAAAAATTATAACTAGTTTCTTACTGTATTGTTGAAGTATTAAGTGAAATAAAATTAAAAGAAATACGTCCCCGAAATAAAAGTTTCTCTAAAAAAAAGGTTTTTCTTTGTATAGCTTGACAGAGAAAAGAATGCTCTACTTGTCCAAGCTATTAAATCAAACTTCAATGGGAGATGATAGAGCATAATTCGATGTATCTTTATTACCTTCTTCGAGAAATCGAAATCACAATTCAATCTCGTGTTTTTATGAAAAGTCATTCAAGAACATATATCAAATAGATATTCATACTACTAGGCATATATCATAGGAAAATAAGTCTTACTGGAAGTTTATGATGACAATATCAATACTAAATAACATAAAAAATAAGGCAGTTTCTTCTCTATCAAACGACATGAAGAGATATTTTCATATAGATTTTTTAAGGAGATACGATACCTCGATCATTACTGTTGGTATTATTTAAGTGCATCCTTTTTCATAGTTTAACCATGTAGGAATGTTGAAACTGGTATTTTGTTCTGTTTCGCTTAATTCATTTTTTGCGACATAGATAGGAAAAAACCAAGTTGTTGGAAGAACAGAACGTAAAATATGTTTTTGTTTCTTTTTGATTCTACCGAAGCGAAGAAAAAAAGTGACCAACTCAACGTGACATTTCTTCTTGTAATTCTAGAAAATCGAAAAAAATTGATTTCTTTAAAAGACACTGTGTACTGTCACGATGAAAATTATCCGACTGCTTTATAAAAAAAAATCTTTCTTTGTTAAAAATTTCAGAGATGAAAATAGCTGAAAAAGGGATATTTTTACCATATTATAATTTATGGTCTCTATTATAGAATATACTACAGTTATAGCGGGTGTGGGTGTGGGTGTAATTGTTGCTATTCTCTCAACATACATCCACATCCACACATCCCACACCCACCCCCACACCCACACCCTCAATTGTTTTTATTATCTGTATTTGGTCATTGTCATAATATTAACATTAGTTCATATTATAAAACATATTCTTCACTATTCACAACTCTTCAAAATATCTACCAATCATTTTTCTTTCGATATTGTTCACTTTCGGCATGTTTCGTCTTCGTTCTCTCGATATTTTTACGATCAACCAAAAATACGACAACATTGCGGTCAAAAAAAAAAACAACCGTCCGAAGTTTTCATAAAAATGATGCAGATGTGACTTTTTCCGTCAGGTTGATTCATATTATTAGAAAGAGAAAGAAAATATGTTTTTCCTGTTCATGAGAAATGAGTGTATATTCGACGTTCATCTGTATTCTCCGTATGTGTATGTCTCCGTTGCATTTGTGTTTTAAATATCATCGTGATACACGAGAGAGGAGTAAAGGTACTTTCTTATTTTTTTTATTTTGTTTAAATAAATTGTAATTAGATATATCAATGATTTACTTTATATTTTTTCCAACATCTTTTTTCAATTTTTACTCCCAATGTAGTACGATTTTAATGTTGAAATAATAACTCGTCCTATTTAACGAACAGAAGAGAATTCGTAAGCTTCTTTGTATTCGATATGCATGACATACGTAGGTCTGACCAAAAGTTCCCAGATCATTAAGTAAAAATGTAGAAATATTTTCAATTTTATTTGATGAAGTGTTGAAAATAGTTGCCACGATTATTTATATAAAGGTCAATCCTTTATAATTTATTAAAATTTTTTTTAAAGTCTTTTTCGAAAAACATTTTTGCTGCCTTGGAAATCACATGAGCTAATCATATTTCATTTATTTAATCAATTAAACTACATTCAATAAAATTAGTTAGCCACAAAGATTTTATAACACCCTGTCTAGTCTTGCCTTTATCTACATTCAGGAATGTTTGATTTAATGGATATACAAAACAAAGTTTTGCTCCACATCTGTCTCCATGAACAATAGTCGTTGACAATTTATCTTTAATAAGCCAATTATTATCATATGACTTATGACTGACCTATCTAAAATAAATCCATATCTCATTACTAGTAATGCTAGAATGCGACTGACATTCAGAAACAAAATTCCACGAAATTTTTAAAACAAATGAAATATGATTAGCTCATGTGGTTTCCACGGAAGCAAAAATTTTTTTTGGGAAAAAAATTTAATAAATTGTAAGAAAGGTTGATCTTGATATAAATAATCATGGTAACTATCCTCAACACTTCATCAAATAAAATTGAAAATATTTCTACATCTTTATATTTTAATTTAATGATCTGGGATCTTTTGGTTAGACCTAAATATCTCGGTATTCTATATCATATACCACATAGAGACGACTTTGTTATTTTAAAATTATTAACAGTCAAGAAGTTTCATGTAAATAGAAAAGGAAATCGATTTATTCGTTTTTGCACTTTTGTAAGTATTCTTTTCTTTTACAAAATAAATAATAATTCTTATACATATACTTCTAAGAAAAACTAGTATCGTTGGTGAAAATGATTAGTTCTATATTCGTGAGGAATATTTTTAATTAATCCTTATTACTGTGTTATATATCGAGCGATGTTTAACTCGTTAATAATTTTTCAAATATTTTATTAGAATGTTGAAACTGATTGTTCTGAAAGAGATAGGTATATATTAACTGATCGTATATTCATATAAAGACGTTTGAAGAGAATTTGTTGGAAATCATATTGTGAAGTTTTTTCTCTCCAGTAAATTACTTTTTCAAAAATTGAATTTATCAATTTAGATGTTGTTTCTATTGTATATAATGGAAAAAAAGAGAAAATTTGATGTTTCTATTTTTAAGTGATTTTTTTTTCAGATAAGATGATATGTACATTTGAAACATTACCAAATGAAGTTCTTCTCATTATCTTTTCTTATTTATCATGGTTTGAACTGTTAAATTTGTGGTCACTAAATAATCGCATAAATAATCTTATTTGTTCAATTATTTCAATAAATGATAATCGACAATATAGTGGTATTATTATTAAAGAATTAGGTTTATCTTATGACAAGTATTACTTAAGATTGTTACCTTTTCTTAATCATTCATCATTATTATTATTTTGTGCTGCTATTCGACGTATGTGTTTTGATGGAACAAATTCAATAGCTTGTGATATTAATTATGAATGGATTTTTTTTCAAAATAATGATAAAAAAATGCTTCGTTTTCCGTTTCTTAAGTCACTTGTTCTCACTCGATGTTGGTTGTCTGCACCATTAATTCGAAATTTATCTTTACTTATTGAACATCAATTAGATAAACTTACTTTAACATTCAATCAAGACGCATTCAATGCACTTACATATGAATTACCAAGTGTAAATAGAAAATATAACAGAAGTAATTAAGAATTCTTTTAATTAATTCATCAAAGGGAGGAAATGTCAAACAGAAAACATATAATAAAACCTAATATACAAAAGATATCTGATCAAGTAAAACTAGAAAAATCGGATGAAATCTGATAATTATAGAATTATATTATATACGTGTTGTACAATTGTACAAAATTAAATGGTAAATCTACTTGAAAGAGAAAGGACAAAGTTTTAGGTTGGCTTTATTTGAAATTTTTATACCAAACGCAAACGTTTTCATGATGTTAAACTTAATTAATTAACGATATATAAATATATAAAGGTAGCTTCGACAATGATCATTATCGAAGTTAGTTTTATTTCATTTATCAATAAATTATTTACTAAAATCGAATATGATATCGTTGAATATAGGATTAATTCTTTGTTGCCGATGAGTACTTTATTCAACACATGTGTTGAGTATAGAGTATTCATTGATAAAAAAATTCTATCCTATATTCAACAGTATGATATTTGATTTTAATAAATAATTTATTGGTAAATGAAATAAAACTAACTTCGACAAATTTTATTATCGAAGTTGTAACTTCGATGATGATCATCGTCGAAGTTATAACTTCACCGGTCGGTGTACCTTTGATACGATATTTATATATATTTAGTGTTCTAGATCTGAGAATAGAAGTTTAGTGCTACTGGTTTATGACTAGAGAGTTGTGAAGAATCTAGGGGAGAAAGTTTGTGTCTACCAATGTAGATCTATGGATATAAATATAAAGATGTTGGTATTAGGATACAGATGTAATACAATAGAAATTAGATTATGTATTGTATACTGTAGATTTACATGTATGTCTAAAGATATAGTTTTGCTGAGTACAATGTAGTATTAACGATCGAAAATTATAGTAATAGTTATGTAATTGATTTCTCGTTCGTTTAATTTAAGTTTTTTGAATTTTGGTAGATTCATTAATGGAGAATCATAATTTTCAAAACTAACTATCATTTAATGGAAAATACTTAAAACGAGTTATCCATACATAAGAAAACATTTGATTTGAAAAATAGATGAAGTTTTTTTTTCAGTGTAAACATTAAAAAAGAATTTAATAAAATGAAAAATTTCTATTTTCTTGATAACGATCATTTTTTATTGGCAAATTATAGGAAAACTACTGAACATGTTCGAACATTTTCTACATCAATTATTCTCATGTCAATGTCAATTAAATTCTCTTCGACTTGATATTGGCAGTTATAATACTGATCAGTGTATAGAATTATTCTCTCATTCATATCAAAACCGAATTTCAAACCAATTTCAGTTTCATTGCATGACGCTTTCTCGTTTATATATTCGGATGAAATACACGTCTTTTCTTGAATGTCTTATTGAACACATACCTGCTCTTAAACAGCTGTCAGTAGAATTTAATAAAACATTAAATATTTATCCGCGATCTGAATCATTAATTAAAAATTTGTGTCAATCAAATGGAAATTGGCATAATAAAGTAAGAAAAAAAATTTTAGTCTCGTTGTTTTGATAAAAATTCCGGTGGAAAGATGAATTGTCATGTATCACTAATTTTGATGAGTTGTTTATTTCATTTATTATTTTTTTGTAGAACACTTTTTTTGAACTTGAAAATATTCTATTACAGTTTATTCCCTTTAAATATTGTCTTGGTAGAGTGAAAAATTTGAAGACAGGAGATAGAAAATGGTTTTAAGAAGGTTTCAACCATACAAAGAGGGGACAACCACAATCATTCATTCTTTCACTCACTCGCATTTTGTGACAAGGATTTTAGATAGATATGATATTTATGGATAAGATGTTTTGCATGAGCTGTGTAATTATATCTTCTTTATTAGAATCCATTCTTTGAGAACAATTTTCACTATATTTAATTTAGATTTATTATCTCATCAAGAAAATATTTAAGAGTATCAGTATTGAACGAGATTACTTATCATAGATTTCGATTTCTCCTTATCATATTCATTTTTGATATGATCAATATATTGAAAAAGTTAAATGAGTTCTTTGTATATTCTATTGTTATTATTAAAGAATTAAACTATATTTTTGTTTTTGATAACAGCTACCAAATCTGCGACATTTTACCTTAAAAACTCTCATTTTAAATGGTGTGCAATTGGTTTATCTGAAATGGCTTCTTAATAATTTAAATCATGTTCAAAAATTGAAACTTCGTCTGGGAAGTGAAAACCTATGTCGAAAAGATCAAATAACATGGAAATCTTATATTGATGCAAATTTTGTTCAACAATATTGTTTACCTGATATTATAAATAATATAATTGATTTTGATTTTTATATATGTTTTTATTGTAAATTATTATCAATTGATGTTGAAAAAGTAATTAATTCATTTGGATATCATCCTCTTTTTATTAATCGTCAATGGACAAATATAAAATGTTTTTATGATCCAATAGTTTCATATCAACACTTGTTTTCTACAAATATCAATATGACACTTCAAAGCTTTAATGGTTTAGTGTAAGATATATGCTTTTTGTAAGATATTCTGTAAGTTCTCAATAGAATAACGTTTTTTTTTTGAATTTCAGTAATGAGCCGTATGTTTTTCAATGGCCAAATATTCACCATATTTCGATTTATTTTCATCCATCACTGTATATATTTCTTCAGCAACTTGATGAAAAATTTCCGAATGTCTCTTCGATTACTGTTGATATGGGTAAATATTAATTACTATCATTTTCTTTTCATCTCTTGAAACTTTATACGAATTTAATCAAGCGAAGCTATATTTAACTATGTGATAGTTTAGTTCAACTCCTAAAACTAAAACTGTTTGATCAACTCAAATTTTTTTGAATTAAACTGTAGTTAATCGAATTAATTAAAAGAATTTACTCCTAAAACTTATTTATGGTCAATTATCTGATGTTCACAATTTATAAATAATGAATTAATAATTAGTTCGTGCCTAAGATTACTGTAGGAGACTACTAACCAGTTCAGAAGAACTAGTCAAACAGGTAGACGAATTCTTGTATGCTGTGATATATCATATATTCAGACATATTTATCAAATTTTGACACTTGATAAAGTTTCAATGAAGACTGTCAGTTGTAGAAAGTCTTATTTTGTAGAAAGGTTCAACGAAAACTACCAAAACCGTATGAAAATGATTTTATTATGCTAAATTTTGTTAGGTACATAGTTGTAGATATGATGTTTTAAACAATTCCGATACTTTGAATTTTTCGGAGTCACGATCCCAAAATTCTTTAGTATCGAATTTAAAAAGTGTCTCTAAATACTCATTTTTTTATTTGCTCAATATATATATATCACTTTTTGGATCACCTCTCCTGAATAGAGATGGTATTTTGTCTTTACTTTACTTTAAAAAAGGCTAAAAACATCTAGCTTTACTTTATTCGACTGAGTAAGGTTAACAAAACAATATTTTTCGTGTATGGATAAAAAAAATTGATATTTTCAACTTTACGTTAATACACTTTCTATTTATCTTATAATGAAACAATATGGAAGATTTTTGAAATGTTCTAGCGTTATCAGCGCATGATATTGAACTAAGAAAATGGCAGAAAATTTAAACTATTGTGTTGTACTATAATTTTCTTTATTCTATTGGATAAAAAAATAAAGACAAAGTGCACATCTTTATATTAGACATGTTTACTTAAAAATAAATAGGATCAGAATTAATTCTAAATTATTAATTATCCATTTTTTTTTAAATAGAATATTATAAAAGTTTTGATGAAGCAGATGTACAGTTACCATTAACAAAGCCGTTCGAAACAGGACTACACAATGTGACCAATATTCAATTTCGAAATATTACAAAGCTTACGTTTGGACATTCTTTTTATCGTAAAAACTGTAAGTATGACTTACTTTATGTCTGATATTTTAGAAAGACATAGTAAAACGTTTTTGTTTTACTATATCCAATGGATAGCATTAGAAGAATGAAGTGCTTCAATTCCCTCCCCCTGTGTCTCCATCAATCATGTTGGTTAAAGTTGAATTTTTTGCCGAAATATTCTTCATTTGATTCTCTACAAATCTGGATAAAATCTTTTAATGTAGCAAAAATAATCATGAAATATTTTGAACTTTGGACTAAAAGACTCAATAAAGGCGAGTCCTACGACAGAAATTTTTATATAAATTAATCGTCTTTAGTTTTTAATAAATCAGAAATTTAATCTCATTTTTATCTCGATTCTGCAATAATTACGTATACAACTAGACTGACATTTTTAATGACTTCCAGCGCCTTGTAATGGGATATAAGACAGTGTACGTAATACAGTGATAATATAAATGATTGAAGAGCATGCCGATTTTCTTCCGTCAGATAGTGCAGGAAAACGGAATATTTCACATCATTACTATGATNTGAAAAACCCTCGAATTTTGAGCATTCATCTAATAACATATGTTATAATACATGTCATTATTTTTCAAGAATATATGTGTGAAGAGCATGCCGATTGTACCGTTAGATATTGTTAAAAGAATTACTTATAAGTCGAATTCTATTCAATCGATTTTAATAATTATTTTCTTGATTTATTGACCTAAAGATAGTCATTCACTTCTGAAAAAATCAAGGTTTCAGCTGTTTTAGTTTCTGTGAAATCATAGTAATGATGTGAAATATTCCGTTTTCCTGCACTATCTGACGGAAGAAAATCAATTATTTTTATTAAATTGCGATCTTTTTAAAGTGTTCTTTGTAGCTAAACTTGTAGAACTGGTCGAAGGCTTTCAGAATATGCCTTTAGTTTTAGCTCTAGAATAGAGCTTTATGAGTGGGAATCTATCAATAATAGGCGTACAGACAATTTCCGTTTTCGTATAGACAGAGATTAAAATCATTAGCATTCCGTTTCAAGAATATTTTGATTAAAGCAAATTTAATAGAATATGAAAGAGGGAGGAGGGGAAAACAATTTAGCAAATAAAAGACGTTTGTTTCATAAACTTCGTTAATACAAAAATTTCACACAAGTTTAAAAAATAATGATTACGCTTTATGTAAAACGGCTTTTTAGCTAGTAATATTATGAATCTTCACCATATCACAGGTAGGTGTCGGGAAACTAGTATTTTCATACCCACTCAATAGAGCTCTATTCAATACAACATTTAGTTTTTCCCTATCATTAAACTTATTTTTAGTGATGTTTTTTCACCAACAGTACAAATGCTGTGCTCTTCACACATATATTCTTGAAAAATAATGACATGTATTATAACATATGTTATTAGATGAATGCTGAAAATTCTAGGTTTTTCAAGGTTATATACATTGTGATTGAGATAGGTATGGCCTCTTTGTCTTTTTTACCATTATTTTCAAAAGTTTCAAGTGTTCCAATGGTGTATGTATATTATTATTGTATAACAATATATCGGAATACATCTCATTACATGGATTTACAACCTATTACATGCAAGTATATATTATGATGAGTCATTATTACAAATTATATTCGTAATAACTCATATTGGACATTTTCTTTGAAATATTGCCATTTTTATTTTGAATAGATAGATGAAACAATTCGTTTATTTTTTAATTATTGTCTTCAGAATGTATATAACAGAGATGATCATAGAATGAATTTTTGCACCCTATGCTGCCATTTCCTGCTGTAACAGCGAGCAGGGCATAGCAGGATATATCCTATAGAACCGATATACTTTCTTTTTGCATCTTTTAACTTAGTTCAAAAACAGCTTGTGTATAATATGTCATAGAAAATGGTTTGATTCGGATCTGTTTCAAAATATAAATAGCAAGCCATTCAACTGTCACAAGATGAGTATTACGAAAAATTCGAAAACCAAATAGTGTGCTGTACTCTACTTAGATTCATAAACTCTACTCTGAACGTTTATCTGAAAAATATTCAACGAAAAGTACATAACTAGGAATATTAGTAAGAAAAACCGAACAAAATGCATATAGTTTTATCATATCGTAGTAATGAAATATTCTATAATTTCTCTGATAAAGATTGGTTCTTTTTTCTTCCTAATATTTAGAAAAGGATAAATTTAAGTTATTCACACGACAAAGTGTAGACAAATCTGATGTATCTTTACGATAAGAAATAGATAGTCGGTAAAGGTTAGTCAAAATAAAAAAAAATCAGCATTCATAAGTTGATGCTTTGTTTTCATGTAGTAAAATAAGAGAATCAAATATACAAATATAGTTTCTCGATGATCATTTCTTTTGTTTCTTATTTCTTCCATGTTTTTATCCGAATCTAAGTATATCGAAAGACATTCAATTTCTTTTCCATCTGTGTAAAATTTATATACGCATCTACTGGCACAATTATGTCAGCATGAACAAAAAGAGTATGTAACCTAAAGAAACATTGAGATTGTGAGTATCAATTGACATGATTCTTGGCAATTTGTGTTCAATTTTTCATTCACAATGAAACAAAAAAAAATATTTTTTTGGGGATAAAAACTAAAAACACGTGCTTTTCAAATATGTAGGGTATAGAGATTTCATTCTAGGCTGTGTTATCCTGTGCAGAGTAGGATAAAAAAAAGAGCTATTACCATTCCGTCCTGCTCATGAGAGGGTTACCTTGCTCTCTGAGCATCTCTGGCATATAACTATTAAGTAAATAGTTTAAATTAATATACTGTTGTGTGAAATTAAATTTTGAATTCTAAAGAATATCAATTCGTTCTTGTTTGAAAACTATGATTTTCACAAATAAAATATCAATAAGGAGTTTTGTTTTTAGATGATTGTGTTGAATCAATAGATCGAAAGAAAGACCGTGCAAAAGTACTCGCTCATATCATTTCAATGCCTGTCCAACTCAAATATCTTTTAGTCGAAAAATTCCAATGGCTCCTGCATATCATTGAATATGTAAGCATCCGTTGCATTGGACAAGAATTCTGCAGTTGTTGTTTTTGTTCCCGTTATTTAAAATCTATATCATTTGTTTTTTTGACTCACCCCTGCTTGGCTTTTATGTTTGAACAAAGTGGTTTTCATATGTTATGTTTTAGGCATTTAATCAATTAAAAACATATGCATTAAGTTCTGTTCAATATGTTGAATTCACTATTCCTAGCTGTCATCGTAATTCAAATGAATCAGCTAATATTGGTAAACATCTGGTACCATTTCTTAAGTTATATATGCCTCATTTACAAACACTACGTCTTTGGCGATCGGACGATTTTCCTTGGACAAATGGTAAGTTTATTTTAAATAAGAGAAAATTAATTACAGTACGTTGACAGACATTTTTGTATTAATGAAAAATGAAAAATTTCTTTTTTATGATTAAGAAAAGCAATTATTTTTGATATCACTTCAATTGAAATTCTACTTCGTCATTGAGTATATGTGAGTTAGTAGTGATTCGATACTTCAAAAGTAAATTGAGGTGTTTGAAAAATCTTTATTTTTTGTTGAAACTTTTAAATTTGACAAAAAGTAAACCTAATTTTAATCAAAGAGCTTTGAAAAAAACTCATCAGTGTAGCCTTTTATGGACCAAGATGCAGAATTCATGTCTTCTGTAATTACTCAATATTATTCATGCGAAAGAGAATTCATTTGCTTTTCGTTACATTTCTTATATGCGCATGAAAATAAATTGTCTTTTTGTGTGACTTACACAATGGCAAAAGTGAGTCGATGAGTGAACATATCGTA